AACCTGAGGCAGGACAGACCGTACCTTCACCACTCCCGAGAGGAGTTGGCCTGACTCCTTCTTGAAGGCAGATGGCCCACCTGCCCATCGTGACAGCAGCATGCAGGTAGGATTTGTCTGCCAGTATTCCTCAAGGGTGCATATTCAGCTATCCCAAAGATCACCTTTATCCCCATCTGATCCCCACAGCAACATGCTGCACCTTATTTCTGCCACTTCCTCTCTTGTCCAGAGGAATTCACTTCTGATCCACATCCACCACCAAGAAGGACATAGAAATAGTGGAGGGATTTCAAAAGGGAGCTGCAAGCAGAAGCCACAGCTAGACTGCAAGACTTATGCTATGAGATTTAAGACGGGAAAAATATTTATCATGACAGAGAGGAGATAGCGAGAGGATCTGATCACTCTGTACAGACACATACACACAGAAAAGAAGTCTGCTGGCAGGAGGCATTTAGACCTTTCTGACAAGGATGGAGCGAAAGCAACAACTTTCATCCTGAAATCAGAGGCAACTTCTCAGCAGAGAAGGTTACTGGATATAAGAATAACTCAGCAGGGGATATGGTGGACTCATCACCTCCTGCAGCCTGTAACATGAGATAAGAGAGCCTGCTGAAGGACACGTTTAATCCAGTTTCTGTGAAAAATGCTAGTACCTGTATGTGACATTAGGGAAGGCAGGGCAGAATGGGGTCAGGCAGGCTGCAGCAGTACACCGAGGGCTCTGCAGGCAAACCTTGGGGTCTCACAGTGCTTGTTCCCTTCTTCACTGGACATGGGAAAGACACAATGTCCATACTGGTAAGAGAATAAAGGAATCGAGACCAAGCTCCAGGGTTTCACCGGGAGCCGTGCTGGGGTCAGGAAGGAAACATGCCTTGCACCACACAACTACTCTGTGTTGCAATTCACCTTCCCTCAATGTATTAGGGGTTAGCCATGCTTGGAGCATGACTGGGTGGCCCTTTCCATGAGCTAACACCAAGCATCCTATTTCTAAGCTGTTCATCTGCTATGTTTGACTCAAAATCAAGTTGGTGCTGGGAGATATTTTTTTCTAGGTGAGACTGGCTAGTCTCAGGAAAAGGCAGAAGATGTTTTGAGCAACCTAAAAAAAAAGCCCATATGAAGCATTAAATTGAAGAAGCTGACTAGGCTGCAGAGAGCAAATGGAATGGGGCAGCCCATGAAAATGGTCCTTGCACCTCCAAGGGTTTTCCTTGCCGCCTTGCAGCTGGACAGTGAAGCCACCGGTTGAAGTGAATGATCAAGTCCTACAGTAGAGCCTTGGCCACCGCTGCCCATCAGCCTGTCAGGGACCCATAAGAGAAACACCACAGGTCAACAGGCTTTGCTGCCAGAGGAGAGGCACCTTGAGAGGTCTCAACAGCAGAGCCAAAGGTGGAGGTGAGCCCATGCCCCAGGAAAAGTGGTGATCAGGACCCTGGGCTTGGTTCTTGAGAGGTTTTTTCCTCCAGGCCAAGGAGAGAGGGTGCGCATGGTGCAGCATAGACACAACTTGCTCTAATGGGCCTCATGCTGCACCCAGGAGGCTGTGTTTGCCTGGGAGAGGCAGGAAACAGATGTCCAGGCAATACGTGCTGTCCTCATGGCTGACAACTCAATGCCAGCTGTGCTGTGCATGCAAGAAGAGACTAAGCAGACACTAGCTGGGAGGACAGAGTAGGGATGGAGGTACACCTTGACCTGAGCATGTCTCAGCCCATCAGGGGTGACCTTGAGAATCCTAACATAAGCATCCATCCACTTTGTCCATGGTCCCTGACCATGGGGCACGCCAGGCCAGAGGGAAGGAAAGGAAACACCAGCATCTCTAGCCAGGGTCCCCACAAATTTTCACACCAGCACAGATGCAGTTCATAAATTGACCCTGCATAAATTTGGCGATGGGAAGAAAGAAAACAAATCAAATAAAACCTGCTTGGGAAATGGTCCTCTTCTCTTTGCTGAATAAAGTTTAGCAATTGAAAATACATAAACAACCCCCTCCTCCATCTGATTTTCTCTCCCTGACACCTGCTTTCCATATAAAAGGAATCCAAACCAGACTCCCCTTGATGCATTAAACCCACTTTTGGAGGAGCAGAGGAGGGCACTCACACAGGAAATAAAAACACAATGCAGATTGCATTTTGTAGCACCTTTCCTGTTAACTTGCCAAGGCATTTCCCAGCATATGCTAACATAAAACACACTAAAAATAAAACCAAGCTAAAAATAAACATAATGGAGGAAATAAACAATGTTCCTCTGGTTCAGCATATAGCCTGTACCAAGGAAAACAGGAGGGACTGTGGCTCAGTTTTAAAATACAAAGAAAAGGATGAAAGCTGGAAAGTTTGAGTTTCCTCAGTGGAAACTTGCTAGAAGTCTGATTTCTGCTTGACCTCATAAGGTTGTGATTGGGTACAGAAAGCAAATAAAAACCCTGAGCTGCTGGCAGAGACAGTAGAGAGGGGTTCCTGCTGCTGGTAGCGAGGTGCGAGGGAAGAACACCATGCTGCTTTGGTCTGCAAGTGCTCTTCCAACCTTCAGTGCCTCAAGCAGGTCCGAAAGCAGAAGGCAACTCTTTTTTCAAAACAAGGATGTACTTTTCTAGTGTCAAACACCTGCTGCATCCTGACCTGGAGACGGCTGCATTTCATCAGCAAAAACACGATCTCTTTGTTTTCCCCAGCCTGCAAAGCACTTTGAGATCCTTCAAGATGAAAGATGCTACAGAAATACCAAGCCATCATATATTTATTTTGGCAACGAGCATTTCTAGACTGAAGTCAGGAAACCTAATTTCTTTGTTGCTTTTGTTACTGTCCCTTTCTTGAGTTGTTTTAGGAAAGCACTCACGTGCACATACTATGTATATGAGGCTAGGTGCATGCGAATGGTCAATTCAATTCTTTACAGGAATAACACAGATCTTCTATGATCTTTTACAGTTGAATATCTCTAAACCTCTTAGGATTTTATATTCCTAGATATTTATAGGGGATTTTTTCCCCAGACTCCACCTGCCTTACACAAAATGGATTATTAGCCCTTAAAAACAAAAAAACTGCTGTTTTGGAGATGAAATAGATTTAAAAAAATATAATAAGGGGGGATACTTGGACATTTTCTGACTTAACAGAGGCAGACCCTTCACTATTAGTGAGACTACTGGAGACTGTAAGCCTAACCCTGCTCTAAATATTCAAGCCTTTTGTCCAGAAAAGCAATACTATAAATAGCATTTCCTACTCTGAAAACTCTGGGGATCTGATTTACTCTGAGTGTCTGCTAAGGGCACGTGTGTAACCTGCAATTCAGCACACTGCAGCTAAGCCAAGGCCATGGGGAGCCCACAGGACTACAGCAAGAGGAGGAAGAGAAGATGCAAGGATCCTGCTGGGTCCTGCCATGCCCACGTGAAGGGGACAGCACACAGCTCTGTGTGCTTTGGTGATATGGGAACTGGCTTGTGCTTCAGCTATAATGACACTTTTAAGAGAAAAACATCTACTTTCCTCTCTATTTGTCCCTACATGAGCTTCTCCCCATCTATAGGTGATGCTCAGCTGCATCCAGTCAGTCTATTCCTCCTTCCAGTCACTTTTGAGGGGGAAGGGGAAGCTCTCAAGCAATGAGAGTGCAAAATTATTTTAAAGGATGAGAAAATGTAATTGAAAAACCACATCAGTTGGCTGGGGTCTTAGAAGTATGTGTGTACATAGCTATAACTGCTACCAGGAGGAAAAGGACTGCATTTCAGGTGGACACTGATCCTTTAATGTAAGGCTGAGAATAATATTTGTATGCTGACTCACTAAGATTTATGTTTCTGTATAAGTCACGCATGCACTTAAAAAAAAAAAAAAGAAAGTAAAAAGCAACTGCAGGATATTCATGGCTTCCAGAACTCTACATAAATCAATTGTATCACGATCCCACAAGCTTTTAGACAAACACATGCACTCTCATTCATTATTGGGGATGTTTGTCCATCCAGGGCCATCAACAGAAGAAAAATTACAGTAGCAGCGATGTGATGACCCTAGCCAAAGCCCTTCACTCTTAACGCCCCCACAGCCCCAGCAAAGCTTGGACTCAAAAATCAGTATTCCCAGTGGTACAGTTTGAGTAACTGGCTGAACCAGAGCCCTGGATCGGCATGCTTGTAACTTCAGGGAGCCCGGGATCCGAAAGCAAAGCCAGACTTGGCAGGTCTGGCTGTTGTCAGCCCCACTACCCCTCCAGGACAGAGCTGAGCACCATCCTTTTTTTCCTCTGCGCCTGTTCTCTCCACCCTCTTTCTGCCTTGTTTATATAGTCTGTCTTGGACAACGGTCCTTCCCCATCCCTTTGCCAGCACGACCCTCTTGCTTGTTCTGCAAATGCTGCCTCTCATTTGCTGCTTTATGAAGACAGGCAGACGCCTGCGAGTGCCAGACATCAATAAATTAAAGTGCCATTGCTACTATTATTATCATCGACATGTTACAACGGGGGCGGAGTGAGACTTGGTGAGAAGCCTGGGATGGACAGGGAGCCAGCATGTAGAGGAGGAGGAGATGGAGAGCTGCTACTGGGGAAGCTTCATCCACACCTCCTGCAATGTGGGGAAGACTGGGATGGATGGAGACTGAGCTTATAAAGCACATGTGGAAGAAGCCTACATTTCAGCTTCAGCAGCAACCCTCAGCAATAACTCCTTAGCAGAGGGAGCTTGGTTTTCCCACCAGGGAACAGTCCTTTAATGCAGTTTTGTGCAGATGCACAGGTCACATACAAAATCTATTTTCTTGTTTCCCCCCCCCCAGTGAGGTAAGCAAATCAAGTCTCATTCCACTGGATTTTCCAACAGCACCTCAAAAGCCACCTGAGAATAGTCACAAAACACTCAGTGAGTAGATAAAAACTCCAGAACTGAAGCACAAAGCCCCAGAGGAGAGAGGTACTCTGGGTGCCCATCAGGAAGTGCCCCAAGGAGACCATACCTGTAGCGCTGGTGGCCATGTCCCTCCTCGTGTTGTAGAAGGCAGGTGGTGGGGTCAGAGCCAAGCTGAGCTGATGTCCGCAAGGCCACAGCTGCGATACCCACAAGCGGGGAGGAGAAGTTGAGCAGCACTGAAGCAGCCCAGTGGGATGGGTACTCCTGGCCATGGGTCACATTGATGACAAGCGGGTTGTGCTGGCATGACAGCTCATACATCCCTGCAAGATGGGGCAAAGAAAGAAGCCGCTAGCTTAGCTCCAGAGATATTTTCTCTGCTTTTGATTTACCTCTTCTGCTCCCCCACACATCCCAACAGACCAACTTGGGAAGCAGAAGATGCTGCAAGGGGGGACAGGGGACACCAGCACCCAACTCAGTGAGAGATTGCAGCAATGGCAGGGGGTCCTGATGTCCCTGCCAGGAGAGCATGGAGTGGTGCCACAGCCCATAGGATGCTCACCCAAAGAGTGGTTCAGCCCATCTACATCACTCAGCTGGACGGTCACCCTTGGCTTGCGCTGGTTGCTTGGGACAGTGCCGTCAGAGGCCAGGAAGACCAGAAGGGAAGTGGGCACCACGGGTCTCTCAAAGCACACCTGGGCAGGAGGGCAAGAGAGACCCTGAGAGCATGCATACCAAATACAGCCTTTCTGATCCCATATATGGAAAGAGGGAGAGAAAGAAGGAGCGCAGGGAGAGAGTGGGAGCATGGTTAGGGGGTCAAAGACTGCAGGTGTGCAGGGCAACAAATGGGTGGGGGGAGAGAGAGGAGGGAAGGAAGTGTGCAGGAACAGAGTCCTTTCTCTCCTAATTCCCCTTCTCCCTTTCACTAGTCTTCCCCACACATATCAGTCCTGCCTTGCCATAAATTTATGGCATCTTCCCAGCTGCCACATTTGCTGCTCTTAAAATTGAGCAACACCTGACGGAGACCTGGATAACCCCTTTTCTGCCCTCTCTTCCCCAGGCTCCAACTCCCACCCTGCATGGTGCCAGTGGGGTAAGTGAGGCATCCAGAGAGCACAGCTACCAGCCCTGCCACCAAAATATTTCCATTAAAAAAACCCTAAAGAACAGCCCCGGTACCCGGAATGAATACAAACTGTCCATCAGCCAACACGCAGAAAGATTTGTGGGAAGAAGTCCTGCCTGCTAGGAGAGTCGACAGCTCCCCACTTGTCTACAGCCCCGAAGGCTACAGGAGGCAGCCGGGAAACTCACGGCATCAATCATGGCAGGGCAGATGTTCTTTGGAAGTAAGAGGATAGAAATGTTTTTCTCCCCCACCCTGGTGCCCCCCACCCAGTGCCGAGATGTGTTTTGATCAAGACCCACCCTATGGGGTTTTTGTTGAATACCGGGATGGAGGGAGCCCAGAAACACGAGGCAAAGGTGTATTTTGGAGGAGGACAAGTCCTGGCTGGCCAGGCACAGCCCAAGGAGCAGGCTGCGGGATCAGAGGGGACAACAACCACCCGATTCGCGACGGCAGCCCAGCCTCGGGGTGGTTTGTGCCATGCCAGGCATTGCTCATGCACCGGAGTGGGAGAAAACCTTGGGCTTCATCCCAGAGCTCCCACCCTGCAGGGAGGTGCTCGGCAGCAAACACCCCATGAGCAAGTCCCCAACACTGCCTACACACTCCCTTGGCCAGGGCTTGCTCTCACACAGGGCTGGCCCGGCTGCAAGGAGTGGACCAGGAGGCTGAAGCTGCCCTCTTTTTTTTTTTTTGCACTATATCCCTGCTGTCTCCCCACCTGAGCTCAGAAACTGGTGAGAAAAGAAAGCAAGAAGGGAGGAAAGACCAAGAAGAGCCAGCAGTGCTCAGAGCCTGCTCCAAGGAGCCCCTCAGGACAGAGCTGCAGCTGGGAAGCCCCAAGGAGCCTGCCAACTTTAACCCAGCCACCTGCTGCCCACTCCTCCAAGTGTGGTTCCTCAGAGGAGGAGAGATAGTTGGAGAAGTCAGGTGAGGCTTTCCCTGGACTACACAGCTTAAGATGGAGGGTTTAGTCTTTCCCTTCCTACAGTGCATCTACTTGGAGGTGAAGGACACTGGCCCCAAGTTAGACCAATAGCAGCTGACTTGACTAACATCCCAATTATTATTATTATTTTAAATATGTATTATGTGTCTGGCCACAGCAGGCTATCTTCTTAATTTTTCTCCCTCCCTCTCCCCCTTTCTGTTTAATTTCCTGCATATTACACATCCTGACTTGCTTACAAGTGATTTTGATTTCTCTCTTCATCAGATGTGTTAGAAACTAAGAACAAAGCATGGCCGGAGATCCGCAAATCTTAACTATTCCCATCTGCAGACAGACCCAAGGTGTGTGGTAGATGCTTTGCTAGGTGACCCACTCTTGCCTCCAGCCCCAGCCCACTTACAGCATGACCCAACCTTTCCCTTGCTCATTGGTGCCACCTCTTGAGAAACACCATAGGAAGCAATTCCTACCACCCGATGAGTTTTGTGGTGTGGTTCTAACCCGGGTGACACAGGTGCAACAGCTTTAAAATGGCCATGTGAGTTGGTGGCCATGAAACACTATACACATGTGGGTGCACATGTCCATGAACAGCACTGTTCCTGTCCAGGCAGGCGGGTGTGCTAGGCAAATTGTCAACAAGAAGCTGTCTTTCCTAACTCAATATGTTACCAATCAGGCAAACTCTATTAAAAAAAGGAAAAAAAGAAAAAAGAAAAAGGGCATATTTATTACTAGTCCATAAATAATTTTATGGGCGGAAAATAATAGCACTCCTAGAGAGAGCATGGAGAACCAGTAATGAAAGTCTTTAATATAAACATCCATAGAGGAAGAGAACTGACCACAAGCTCCAATAAAACTGAAACACGCTTTAACCCCTGGTGAGAAGTGGAAAGCAAGCTTTCATCTAGGTAGGGCAGAGGGGGAGACTGCTGCTTTCTCACTAGCAAAGGAAGAAAGGAGGCACATTTGTCATGGCCAGAGACTGAAGCCGGAAAGTAGGTTGTGAGCACAAAGACAAGGAAGAAAAGAAAAAAACCCAAACCAGTTAAAGGAAGATCTTTGGAAAGACAGAGGGCCTCAGAAGCAATAGCCATGCTTATTGACTAAGGTTTGATGATTCACCAAGTTGTCTGAGCATCTTGGGAAGAGGTCCTCTCTAGAAAACCTCAAGCAATGCAGGGCAAGGTGTCCTTCAAACTGCAGAGGAAGCAGCACGCCAGAGCCCAGCTTTCCAGTAACACCAGGCAGCAGCCATGAAACCTCTAAATTGTGTCTGTGGTCAGAAAATCAATGCTGTAAAAATCACGCTGGCCTAACCCTCAGCTCTCATCTGTCCTGCTCCTCTGCCTGCCAGGACAGAGAAGTTTGACCCTCCAAGTGCCCTCCCAAAGGTAGTCCCCAGCCGTGGAGACAGCCCCCAAGCCCCCATTGGGCTGCAGGACCAGCATCTTGGGCACAGAAGTGCCTTCTTTGGTCTGGAGTCACTGGGGTACAGGAGGACCTGCATGCCACAGCTGATTGCTGTGGGCTCAGGGTGCTCAGCAGCAACCTGGAGGGCTCAGGACCCCACAGGATGGCAGAGTATATCCAGCTACCCTCTGCTGCTTTTCACAGCCATGGGGAACAAAGGCAACTAGGACTCTAAACACAGCTTGTGCCCACCCTTTGTGGGTGTAACTGCACAGCTTGACTGCAGGGAATAGTCAGGAGCAAGTTGTTTCTCAGTCTCAACACATTTTCTGTGGGCTTCTGGTTTTGGGCACAGCCCTTCTCCTGGCAATCTGCCCCAGGATGGGTTTGCTGTTCACAGCGGGAATGGTGCAACTACACAAGACCCAGCCACAGGCATTTGGGGTTTGCAAAGAGTTCAGTAGGGTATGAAGTCCTATCTGAGCAGTTTTTAAGACTGCTGTAGCTCCTACAGGACAGAAAAGCATGGGTCTTTGTCACCAAAGTGCTGGGGCAAAGACAAGTAAACCCTTCTGTGCCTGACCACACATCCTCACTTACCTTGAGCCAAACACCCTCATCACCCAAGGTCATCCTCTCCTCATCTGCATCCTGAGCATTGTCTCGGCTGGGAGTGCAAGGAAACCAAGCAGACAGGGAAAGGTCCTTTGGCACATTGTGAAGGTGGGATTTACATACCTGAAAGGAGAGATTTATTTCAACGCAGAAAGAAGCAAGGAAAGTGAGAGAAAGAAACAGCACCTACAAAACCTCAGGGAAGACTCAACAAATGTTGAGAATGATCCCAAGTTGGTTCCTAGCATGAAGACAATTAGGATGTATGTTCCTAAGCAGGAGTGACATCTCACCGCCCACACATGTGCACAGAAGGCCTTTGCCATTTTGAGGTGCTGTAAATATGCTGTTTAAGCACCCCATGGTGTCTGTGGAGCTGAGTAAGAAATAATGAGCCAAGCTGTGAGATCGTAGGTAAGACCACAGCCTCCTGATTTTGGCTGGGCTGATGATATCCGAAGGTGTGATTCATTTGCCTGAATACCAGTCTTCTGTGCCATTCAGTGCCCTGTGGTATCCCAGACATCCCCATAAGCCTGGCAGACAAAACCTGGGAGGTGTCATTCTAGAGGAGCAGACACCTGAGCCCAAGGCATCTCATTAGACATGTACAGATGTAATCATGCTGTAGGTCTCAAGAAGATTGTTCCTTATATCAGGTCAATAGAAACTCATGTATAATGGCTAAATATGACCTCTCTACATATTTCTTGCCCTTCTTCAGCTTGCTAGGAAGGAGCATACACACACCACACTAACACCGATCAGGCGAAATCCCGTCCTAGACCTCCAGGCCCTGCTCCAAAGCCCATATGAAAGACGGGAATTCTCCCATTGATTGTTCCTTGGCTTCAGATCAGAGACTTTGAGAGCAGCACAGATGCTGATGTATGCATGATTTTATCCTTTCAGGCCCTGACTTTATAAGGTATTAGACTTATGGATTTTTATTTTTTTTTTTTAACTGACAGTGGGACTACTCACATGCTCAAAGTTGTGCATTTAGCTGGTGGGACAGGGGTGGTCACTGTTTAGCAAACTGCATGGTCAGGGGATGTGCTCCCTGCCTTGATGAAACACCCCTCCATGTACTGCAGTTCCGGGGCTTAGGGACTACTGCAAGAGGGGTGTGAGAAATGCCCAGGTCTTCTACTGGCTCCCCACATGGGAATATAGTAATCAATGAACACTTCCAGAGCTGCTCTGAAGATTTTGGTTTTGCCTCATTACACTCTTGCAGCAGTGACTTCCCCAGTTTTACTGCATGGGCTTTGCTAGAAAAGTCTTATCTTTGGCCATGACTTCACTCACCTTCACAACAGGCTCTCCAGTGACCAAGGAGGCAGGGCAGGACTTTGCGTCATGATGGGAGGCATAGGCTTTCACTGCCCACAGATCCACATATCCATCAGGTGTGTAGGGACCACAGTCCAGGACACTGCTTGTCTTCTCAAACGGCTCACACACACCGTCCCCATCATGCACGTAGCACAGGCTTGGTTCCCCTGCAAGGAGATCAGGGATGACCCATTTACAAACCAGGTTCCAGGCACATACATCTCCTTCTGTCCCAGGAGGTGTGCTGGCTGTTTAGCCCTGGGATTTCTCACCACAAGGGCCTGACAAGCTCTATGGATCACTCCAGCTGCAGATCAGTGTTTTGTTGTGATGAGGTGCATCACCCCCTGCTCTGAGGAGCAGTGTGAATAATGTACAGTTTTGACTCCTGCCTCAAAAGGATGTCTCAATCCATTTGGACTCACCAACACAGTTGAAGCCTTTTTCCTTTTTACACTTCCTGGAACAGCCATCTCCATCCAGCAAGTCCCCATCATCGCATTCCTCCTCCAGGCTCCTAAGAGGACAACAGCCAGACGTGTTAACACCACTCTTGACTCAACACTCCTGTGCTTCTGCCCAATCATGAGTGAGGACCCCATATCTTGGTTCCATTTCCACAGAAGCAGGGAGAAGAGGAAGAACCACATGTGGAGTAAGGTAGAGGAGATAAAACACCATATCTTGCCAGGGGCTAAAGAGAGGTTGAAAACACAGCATATGAGAGAAGGCATGACCGTACTGTGACTTTCTTATAAGACCTGAGGCAAGAACTATGGGAGAAAATGGAGCTATATACAATGGAGGGAGTAGAGAACCAAGCATCAGGAAGACTTGCTGCTGGAGAAAGCAAGTGTTGGAGAGGGTGGGAGGTTCTGAGAAGGGGCTGGTGTTTCAGTGGGAGCTGGAGAAGGGGAGGCAGGAGAAGGGAGAGAGAAAAGGTTAGCCCAAGAGGAGACAAGAATCAGCCCCCAGCTGACATGCATGGCATCTCATGCAGTTTCCTTGAAAAGGTTCTATCCCCATACTGCAGAAAACAGATCTGATGCGAAAAGCTGGCAGAAATGCCTCAATTCGTACCTATTCCTTTGTGCACAGAGTTACGTATCCCAAAACACAAGGAGCAAAAAAACCTTCAGACATACACCTTATGATGCTCACCAACCTCCACCTTCATCTAACACGAAAGATCCACTGTGTCCCATCTTCCCACCTTTGGCTCACTGTTCCACACATGGTACAAAGGAAAAAACTTTCACAGGCAAAGCTTCCTGCATGGCCTTCCCCACAACAGCTCAGGAACAGGAAAGCCTGCCAAAAATCTCAGCTGCTATCGGCCCATTCCTGCCCCTCTCACTTTTCTGTCGACTTTGACAAGGAAGCCTAATGTGGCCATTTGCTCTCTCTGGACCACGTCTTCATCTAGTATGAATTCATGCTAAAACCATACCAGATTACACCACTTCAGCAGCTAGCCCTGCTGTAAGTCTCTTTGCCTTGCTGGGTCTTGTACGATACCACAATCCCTCCTGCACTTGCTTCAATTGTCCACTTCCCTTATACTGTTAAGAAAGCTGTTTTCAAAGGAAAGTGATTCTGAGTAACCTGGAAGTTGAAGTCTGAAAAAGCTAAAATATAGAAAGTTGGCATAATTATCCCCAGACGGAGCAGGTGAACCATTGGAGTCTCTCAATGTAGAGGTGGCGCATCCCTCATCGTTTGGGGTCTCTAAGCAGAGACCAGACAGCTCTCTAAAGACACCACACCGTGTGGGACTGCACTTGCTGCAGAACCTAATCCTGCAGGGCCACCACCGTGTGCCCTGTGCAAAAGGTTATGTTGGCCAGTCCCAAAGGCAGATCCCTTTGGGGTCAGACTCTGCGACAGATCGCTGAGATGGGCCAGAATCCAAGCACAGCAGTCAAAAATGGAGGATGTTCAGGTTGGACCCCTCATCCGGACCCTGCTTCTCAGAAAGACTGTCTACATCTCCTATGCACACGGCATTTTACAAAACACAAGCTCTATAGTCCAGTCTGTTGGAGAGATTCAGTGCAGCATCTTCAGTCAAGTACCCATAGGTGGAGGACCAACCTGGTGCTTCCCTTCAGGGCAGGATGACCTGACAAGCTTAAAGAACCTCAGCAGAGAGCTTGAGTTTCTTGACTTACGTGGTCACCTTCCCATCCCCACAGTAGGGTGCTCCATGGACATGGACAAGCAGTGGGGAGGCTTCTCCTGAGGTTGTCCCAGAAACTGCCTGCACCTGGTAGTGGTACACCTGCCCAGGTGTAACTTCCCTGCAGGAACAGAGAGGACTTGAAGAAAGAGCAGGAGGGAACAGCCCATACATCTGCAACAGATTTGCTCACCACAGCTATAGAAATCATGTGTGTGTGTGTCAATGCAGTATCACAGACTGACATATGTCTTCGTACTCTAAACTGCCAGAGGCAGAGACTGTGGGAAGTGGGTCTCTGCCAGGTCATGCAGAGGGGCCTGCTGCTTATTTCCCTAGGGTCTGAGCATCATGAGGGAGAAGTGGCATTAACTCAAACAATCATTTTACTGGTTGTGTTGATGGGAAAAATGTTTCCAGGTTTAATAAGCTCCTTCTAGTCAGCCTGGGCTCACGGGTAATGGTTGTGCTAGCATGGAAGCTCGTTGCAGACCCACCTCAATGCTGAATAGGGAATCCACTCACAGCATTGAACATGGTAATTCCTGGGGCAGGGGGGTGGGGGTGGGACAGACAAAAAGACACAAGCAAAACCATCCAGGGATTCAAAGGCAGGATCTGAGGAGGTCATCAAAACTGTCCCAGCCACCCACTCAGCCTGTGATGGAGCAGCCTCGTCACTCACGTGTCGACGAACTGGCGGTGTGCCTGTGCTGGTGCGGTGGGGGATCCGTTTGCAAATGGGGGGTCGCGGAGGACTCTGTACTGGATCAGCTTGCAGGTGGCGCAGAGTGAGCTGTGGGGCATGGAGGTCAGCAGGGCCGTGTCTATCTCCATCCTCTCATCAAAGGTGTAGATTTTGACTCCGTTCACCTTTTTAGGGATGTTGAGCTTCACAGTAAAGGGGACATCACAGAAGGTGTCCAGGGGGCCCAGATGGATGGACTCCCCGTGCTCTGTCAGGACTTCAATGTCAGACAGCACCTTAGGAGAGCCCGTGGAGAGGTACGTGGTCCAAAGGGTGAGGGAATCAGGGTAGACGGGGTGCAGGAAGCGCAGCTCCAGGATGCAGCCATCTGGCTGGGGGCACGGCACTGTCATGTTCATGTGGTACAGGTGAAGCTCCGGACTCCAGGCCTGCAGGCTGGGCTCACAGGGCTGATCCACATCCGGGGGCCCTGGGCAGGAGGGACGAGGAGGAGGCTGATGAGAACCAGGGGAGAGCTGACCTCACAGGGGACCCAGAGGGGTGATCCTCTCTGCAGTACCCTGTAGGTGCTTATGCATCTCTGTGCTATAGCTGCACACCCATGAGGTTTTGCACCCACTTACAGGCATGTGCCAGAGCTGGTGGCATCTGCTCTAACATCCTAGAATGCAATAACCACCGCTAGTCTCCCAGCTCCTGGGTATGCATACAAGCGCAAGGCTTGGCAGGTCTGGTGTCTCACAGCCCTCTGAAACAGGATCAATGGTATCCACACTGCAGCTGGTCACAGTGCCAAGCTCTAGAGACAGCCTGGACACAACTGTGGGACATGAAGCTTGCTCTGTAGTCTCATGGGCACAGAAAGCTTGCCAAGGGCACCTGAATACTGAGTCCCTGTGGCTCCATAGGTTTGGACATAGGCTAAGCAGAGCAGAGACCAAAGTTTTCCACAGTCATGTGCTGGAACAGGTCACAGGCAGGAAGGGACCAGGTGCAAAGCAAGCCAGGGAAGCAGCTCTGCTGTTCTCCCACCAGAAGCTCCAGGACAGTGCCCAGGCTGACCTCAGATCCCCAGCGTGCCTCCCCTGGATTAGCGCTCAGCAAGAGAAATGTAGCGTTGGGCTTTCAGTCTCAGAAAGCATCGCTGGAATTCATCATCCTGTTGTAGGAATTCCCTTGTCTTCATTAACTACTGCAAGCATTTCTTAGGGCCCAGCACCAATTCAAAGCCTGCATCCATTTAATATTAGTCTTCTAAAAACCATAAAATCTGTCTTTTTCACCAGCGCAAACATGCACTTGTGATAACTGCAGGTCATGCAGGAGAAAACAATGTCCAATAATTCCAGAAGCAGTTTTAATTTGCCAGTGAATCAGACAGGCAGGGGAAACAGGAACCACTGACAATAAATGAGCTAAGCTTTGATTTGTTTGGTATCACTGAAAAAGCACAAATTTGATTATTTCTTTAAGTTTATTTCCCCACCACCACCTCCTTGCAATGCTATCAAGAAATACTGAAATTAAAGAGTTTTGGACGCAGAATCTCAGCTACATCCTGACACTTCTGTTCTCAAAGCACGGGCTACATCCCAAAGGTGTAATGACGTCCAAACTGCATTTTCTCTGCAACCACACTGGCACATTTTCAGTCAACCTCAGTGGCTCAAACGTGCAGATGCACAGAACTAATAGATCCGCTGGCTCCACGTGGTTCAAAAGCAGCATGTGCACTACATACAGCTCATGGGATCATTTCACCTGGTCTCCTGCCTCCTCTGCTCTGCCCTTGGAGAAATTGAAGCAGTATGAAAAGCCCAACAGCTCCCAGGGCAGCTGCATGATCCTGAAAGCCACCACCGTGCCCACAAGGTAGGTTTCTAAACCAACATCTGGATCTCAGCAAAAGAGTTGTGACACCCTGCTGTTCACCTTGCCAGCGGGGAATTGCATCCAACCCAGATTGCCCAGCACTTTGTACAGACTCAGTGGGACCGAGCAAGGAGCTCCTCTTGCTCCCTTTGGACAAGGCTGCATCAAAGCCTGTGAATGCCCCTGAGGTTTTGGATGAGGTCCCGAGATGTATGTTGTAAGACTTTTATTTCAATGAAGTGCCCCTCCCTTTTGATGAGTATCTCATTAGCACCTTCCTGGGCAGTGACTGGGGTTAATATTGGGGTGTCAGTTTGTTTGTCCAAAGCCAGCTGGCAGTTACCAGGTATCTCCTGGGCACCTAGAATTCCTTCCTGCACTAAAGAGCCTCCCCAAAGGGGAGACATCTCACTCTCTAAAAGAAAAAAAGCTTCTTTTTCTTTTCCCAACAAGATCTCATCTCTGTCCGGGAGATTCTCAGCCCGGGGAAGAGAGGAGGTGTTTACCTTCTGCTTCTTCTGGGGTCCAGTAGCCAGAGGAATCGCAGACCCGAGGGGAAGAGGCCTCATACACATACTGACGGAAGGTGCCGTCCTCCGCACAGTCATCACAGAGTGTGTCCTGCTCCCTGCAAACAGAAGACAAAGGCATTGGCATGTCTAATCACAACTGGTTAATTTTCCATCCACGTTTTTCCAGGCAGAATCAGATGAGAAGTTGGAAAAGCAAAGCTAAGCTCTCGGGAAGCCCCTGGGCATATCATCCTGCTTGGAATAAGCTCTGTCAGACAGGAGAATAAAAGTGACCATGGGACAAGCCGTGTTTAATCCCTGCTCTTCTACTGGCTCTCTGGGTAGTCTCGGATGAGCCATTGAATCGCCTGTTCCCTACCCACGAAGCAGAGCTAACAGACTTCATGCTTCCCGGGTCAATGCCTCTGCAGTTGGGTGGGTACGCTTGGGTCTATCTATCTCCACTAAACCCCAGAGTCAGGTTTTTGGCTTTTGTCACTGCCGCAATACAAGACAGTCACAATAACGTCAATTAAAGAGGGTACCACTGTGCTCTCCAGGAAAGTAAATGACACTTTTCTGTGATAAAGACCAGCCTCAGGCCCTTTCCTTGGCAAGTTCATCACAGGGTATGCAGAACCCCCACAGTGGGCCAGCTCCTGAGCCAGTTATGAGCGAGAGCCGGGGATGGATCTGAAGACCCAGCACCTGCCTCCTAGACCCATTTTCCTGCTCCCAAACCACTCCGTTCCCCACCAAAGCAGTTCGTTTGGATGACTCAAGGCCACTCAGCACTCAGGGGCTCTCGTGCCTGTGGGGATAACAGGTACACACTCTCATTACCCCTGGGATGAAAGGCCCGTCATGGAGAGCATCAGTTCTTTGAAAAAGGCAGTAAACACTGACCCAGGGTTGTCCCAGCTGCCCTCAAACACCACTTTTCTTTGAATTGCAAAAGCTTTGTGAAGTAGCTTTAAAACAATTTCAAGAGCTCTTTAACATATGCTTATGGTCCCATAATAAAAGCATAGACCTAAAACCTGGTGGAAACCAAAATGTTGTAGTAATAAGGGCTGCTGAATAGAGGCATTGGTGGCGTATCCAGGTCTGGGTGACTCCCCAACACTGGGGAGAAGGAAGACAGCCACCCGGCACTCAGGGCCATGCACTGCTCACCAGCCAAACAACTCTGGTTCTTCAGCACTGTTTCTCTGGCTTGAAAAGTTTCCTGACTTACCCCCAGTTAGTTACACCACGAGTCCGTGACAGCGCTGGGAACGAAACTCAGCTCTTGCGGTTCGAGCTCCCTGCCTTAACCACAAGGCTGCATTTCCTCCTGGTAAATGGTTATTTTATACAATAAGTGCTAAATGAAGCTCATTTTTCATTCCATGATTGCACTCTGGGGTTTAAGAATTGGCATTGCCTCCTGACACTCTTTGGCTTCCCCTCTCGGCACCCCAACAGCAGAAGGCTTGCAGGAGAGCCCACATGCCAGCAGAGCCATCACAGCAGCCCAGCTCTTGTGTCTGAGGGCTCTGCTGGAGGCA